AAGCATTTGCAAAGCTCATATTTCATGTTAACTATACTGAGAGTGTTTTAAGGGGGCTTAGCTACCTTGAAATAGTAGAAAAAGGTACTAGTTCCAGCCTGGCCTTAAAGATCCTTGCAGAGGGAAGATCATCTCTTTGAACCTTAGCTTCCCATTATGTAAAGGGAGTGATGGGCTCCTTGAAGGCTCCTTGGATTCCTTCAGCTCTTAATGTTTTGTTAGTCTATGATTTTGTGAACTAAAAGTTCAACAGTGGTGATGCTTCCTCATAATGGCAAAGATCTAGCAACTAGACTCTATGACTACACTAGCTGGACCCACACCTGTTCTAGAACTTTCTGACTTCATGAGTGTCATTGCTTCCTTGAGCTGGCTGCCCTAACTCAATCCTTTCCACCTGAAGCTTTGTTTTACAACCCAGGTTTCCATTTAATTCTATAAATATTGACTAAATATTTGCTGTGTTTTTCAATCACACAGCTTCAGAGCCCAACCTTGTGGAACTCACAATGAGGCAGTGAGGTCAGGACTACAGAATTCATTTTTTTCCCAGAGACTTATCTCCTAGATTGGTTATTCTCAGACTGTGATCCCTAGACCAGTAGCATCAATGTGACCATTGAATTTGTTATAGAAAAGCAAATTTTCATGTGCCATCCAAGACTCACTAAATCATCAGCTCTGAGGATATGCCTCACTGGCCTTAGCTTATAATAGATCCTGAAGGGAATTGGGATGCACAATGAAGCTGGAGAACCACTGAACTGGCCCTTCCAGTGACAAGCTGAACTGTGGTCTGAGTCCACAAGGGCAGGCTGCCAGAACCTGGCTTCAACTCAGAGCCACAACTCACTTGGAACCTCCAACTCCATGTTGAACCTTTGTGATATTTTTGTTAAGTGTCCCAAGCATTGTGTAAACTACCCATTTGTTTTGATGGGAACTAGTTCAGTTTAGCACATAATTCCACATAGACCTTCCAGCCTTTCCTTCAGATTGTTATGCTTAGTGAGATGTTGATGTTTTGACCAAGACTTACAATGAAAATCTCAGTCTGAGTAGAAGCCCTTGCTGCCACAGATCACTAGAGGAGGAGAGCTTCTAGGGCCTTAGTCCTCTGTGGACCCTCCTTCCTTTTAAGGATTAAGCTCCTTCTCCATGGTGGGGTCTTAAGCCTGATTCCCTGATAATTTGGGCCATTATCCCAGAAAGTTCAGATTTACATAGAGTGGGCAGGTATGACTTCTGGAAGGAGGACTATCCTGGACCACCTGACAATGTCTGGCCCCTGTTTTCCTTCCTGGGACCCTGAATCTGTCATCCATTGTTCCAACCTAGGGCCAAATGCTGGGCCATGGGCTCCTTCATGAACATTAGACTCAGCCTCTGGAGCTCAGGGTTTGTCTGGCTTTTAGTTCCCCTGTCCCTCTTTGGGCAGTTGCCTATATGCAGTATCCACTGCATGGCTATAAGCTCTAGCTCTATCTTACCTGGCCTTGGCTGGGTGTAAATGGAGGCTAAGGAAGGAGAGCTGGGGGAGGGATGGTAGACAGAGGAAAGTCTGTGATGCCTTCATATGCAACTACCCCTGTTGGCTCCTTGCTCACAACTGCCCAGTGAGGTGAGCATTGGCCACATCCTCATGTATTTTCTCTTCTGAATTATGAAAGACTTACAAACACTCAGTGTCTCCGTTTTCTCATCCATCTAGTAGGTACGACTTTCCTAGCACTTTTTCAGTAGCTTGTTCTGAGAATGAAATTAGGTCACTATGATGAAAACACTCTGAAAAAAAGATTTTAGATCACCCCATGAATGTCAGGTTTTACATTGATCTTATTCCTGGGTCCTCAAGTCAGTTTGTGGGGTCTCTCTTTTGAGAAACTCATCTTAGATGCACCTAGCTCCTGGTATTACATTTGGGTGTTAGATGGGCATGTGTTGTATGTGGCTTTCTGCCAGGCTGCTGGTGTTAGGGGAACTTCCTCTTCTAAACTGGGCTTGTGAGGTTGTAGTAAGAGGTATGTGTGCCAGCGATAAGTCATTGCCTGGCAAGCTGGCCTGGACAGGATGACCTCACAGGCCTTTCCCATTTCTCTTTTTATGACTGGCCTCACTGTTTCATTTTTGGCTTTCTCTCTCTTTCTTGCAGCTGTGGTGACTGGGACTTAGGGCAAGCATTTGGGATCCCTTTTCTAATCCCTTTCAAATCCTGCTTTAGCTGCAAAGTCCGGTAAGCAGGGGGAGGGAGAGGATTACCCCTGCCTAAAGGGGTAAAGCCTGCTACTCTCAGGAAATAGCTACGGTTGGGTGGCTTTATACAGAAAGTGAATTTGGGAGCTAGAGAAATGGCTTAGCAGTTAAGAGCACTAGCTTCTCTTTCAGGAGATCTGGGTTCAAATCCCAGCACCTATATGGTAGCTAACAACCATCTTTTCCAGAGGATCTCATGCCCTCTTCTGACCTCCATAGGCACTGCATGACACAGGTGCACTTAAATGCAGGCATAACACTCATACACATTAAAAAAAAAAGTTTTAGGAAGTGGGTTTGGAGCTGGGGAGGTGACTCACTTGGTAAAGCACCTGCCATCCAAGCATGAGGACCTGAGTTCAGATCCCCAGGACCCACCTAAGAAGCTGGAGATAACACTTCTGTAACCCTAGCATTGGACAGAGAGGGAAGGCACACAGAGACAGGTGGATCCCTGGAGCTGGTTGGCTAGCCACTCTAGCCACTTGGTGAGACCTATCTCAAAAAGTAAGGTGGAGAGCAATAGAGAGAACAGCACCTGACCTAGATCTTTGGCCTCCACATGCACAAACACATGTACACATGTACCCATGCACACATACACAATCCTCAACACACAGGCACACACAAAAAATAAAAATATAATAGGGGTCAGGTGGTGCACATCTTTAATCCCAACACTCTGGAGGCAGAGGCAGGCAGATCTCTGTGAGTTCGAGGTCAGCCTACATAGCAAGTTCCAGATAATCCACACAGTGAGACCCTGTCTCAAAATAATAATAATAAAAAATACAGTGGGTTGATTTTGGTCAGAGTTCTAGGTCAAGGTGGAATGGTCATACATAATAATGACCTTCTTGCTGGTAGAATCCTAAGGAGGCATTGCATGGCAAGAGAGTACGTATATGGATGTGTTCTCTCTCTTCTGAAAAAGTCACCAGAATTCAGAATTCAGTCATGAGGGCCCTACTTTGAGGACCTAATCCTAATGACCTACTAAAGGCTCCACCTCTGGACACCATAGATCATTAAGCTTCCATTCTCTTTATGTTTCACAAAAGGGATCAAATTTGAGCATGTGACCCTTTGGGAGATACTCTTAAACCACCCAAACCATAGCAGACAATCACTCATAACATCTGAGAAATTCCATCAGGGATGCTCAACTTCCATCCACAGAGGCAGGAGGCATCTCATCTCATTCAGTACCATTTTCTGTTTTTTGGTTTTTTGATCTTCTTGAGAGTGGGTATCTCTGTAGACCCAGGTGGTCTGGACTCACTGTGGAGACCAGGCTGGCCTCCATCTCATAAAGATCTGGCTTTAGTACCATTTTTAACCCAGAAAAAGAAGGGATGAGTTTCATCTTTAGACTCAGACCTCACTTGGGTACTCACAGTCTAATATGGTAGCTGTGGTGGAAAGGGAGAAACTTCACCTTTTTTGTTTTGAAAAAAAATTTATTTTTATTTGTGTGTGTGTGTGTGTGTGTGTGTGTGTGCGCGTGTGTGTGTATGTGTATACAAGTGTGCTTGTGAACCCTAGAAGGCTAAAAGATGGTGTCAGATCCCCTGGAACTGGAGTTATAAGTGGTTATGGAACACCTCCCCCCCCAACATGGGTGCTGGGGACCAAACTCCCATCCTCTCCAAGAGCAGCAGTGCTCTTAACCATTGAGCTATCTCTCTAGCCCCTCACTTGCTTTTTCTTTAGTTAACTTTGTCCTTTGTAGAAATATTTTTCGAACTGAGTCCGTTTTTCTCCATTTCTACCAATGCCTCCTGGATGGAGATCTGAATCCCTCTCTAAATTAGATTAGTGAAACATCACAATGGATCATCTACCTGGAAATCAGTAGACTTAGACTCAATTGCTTTTTTGTCATGCTGAGGATTTAACCAAGGGCCTCGTGCATGCTAGGCACATGCTTTACCACTGAGCTATGTCCCCAACTTCTGACTCAGCTGATTTTTTTTTAAACCATGCAACTTTCCTTACAAGAGATATCAGTTACATAATATGATGCTGAGATCCCCCAGTATCTATGACTTTGTGTACAGACTCCTGAGTCTGAATTTAAATGTCTTTTATAATTTAAGAGTAGCTTCAGGCTATTCTCCAACTAATTTCCACCTGCAGTGCCTAGTGTTTCCTGTGTTCTATGGTCTCATCACTTAATCTGTTACCTACCACATTCATTCCACCTTGGGCTTTGTTCGTGAGTCCCTCTCCATGTACTCCTCCAGTCCAAACACTCTGTGCACATACAGCAGTTCATGTCTCAACTCCTTGACCTCAGTCCTTGACATCCTTGTTCTCTTTACAGCTATTGTCAGAACCATGGTTTTATACTTGTTAGCTCAACCTTCCCAAATAGACTGCAAGCCCTTTGATTTTTGGACTCTCTTAAGCTTCTTTCATATGCTTTGCAGTGCCCTGTTAAATTTTTATACCATGCAACAAATAGTAAAATAATTTTGATTCTGATCAGAGATTCACTCACCTGAAAAGTACATTGGTGTTTTTATGGATTTTATCTTGCAAAAAGAAATCCTGTCTGTAGCCAAGGGTCATCATGGTCATCTAGTATGTACATATATGCCTTAAGAACTTTCCTAAGTGGGAGGAAAACTGATGAAATCTGGAGTCCCAGAGGTGACCATCAGTCCCAGGATTTCCCACAAGAGACCGTCTGCATTGAGTCCTTACTGCCTTTCTGATGCTTTTGAACTCTGCTCTTTCTCCAGAGAGCTCCTGTGAGAATAAGCGGGCCGATCTGGTTTTCATCATCGACAGCTCCCGCAGCGTCAACACCCATGACTATGCAAAGGTCAAGGAGTTCATTGTGGACATCCTACAGTTCTTGGACATTGGGCCTGATGTCACTCGAGTGGGTCTGCTCCAATATGGCAGCACGGTCAAGAACGAATTCTCCCTGAAAACCTTCAAAAGGAAGTCTGAGGTAGAGAGGGCTGTCAAGAGGATGAGGCATCTATCCACAGGCACCATGACCGGGCTGGCCATCCAGTATGCCCTGAACATTGCTTTCTCAGAAGCAGAGGGGGCCCGGCCACTGCAGGAGAATGTGCCACGGGTCATAATGATTGTGACCGATGGAAGGCCTCAGGACTCAGTGGCTGAAGTGGCTGCAAAAGCCCGGGACACAGGCATCCTGATCTTTGCCATTGGTGTAGGCCAGGTGGACCTGAACACGTTGAATGCCATTGGGAGTGAGCCCCACAAGGACTACGTCTTCCTAGTGGCCAACTTCAGCCAGATCGAGTCTCTGACCTCAGTGTTCCAGAACAAGTTGTGCAGTAAGTCCTGTTCCTCTGTGGTCCATTTGCCCTTGAGGGTTTCTGCTGTGCCACCATATCCCAGGTGTTGCAGTGGCAGTGGCCAAAGATAGGTGCACTGTTCTTTAGGGGATCACATTTTGACCAATGGGACAGATATCAAACATAAAATTACACAAAAACTTAAGTACTGCAATTGTTAGCAGTGTAATTGACAGAGAACTTAGGGCATAATAGAACAGATAACCTCAAGGCCTAACCTAGTCCAGGGTGTTTACAGAGACTTCCCTATGGGAAAGGACATTTAATTTTGTGCGTGCGTGCATGCGTGCGTGCGTGTGTGTGTGTGTGTGTGTGTGTGTGTGTGTGTGTACATGTGTGCAGAGGTCATTTACAGAGGATGATTTATAGGAGTCAGTTCTCTCCTTCTACCATGTGGTTCTTGGGGATTGAACTCAGGTCTTCAGGCTTGGTGGCAGGTGCTTTTACCTGATGAGCCACCTTGATAGCCCTGGGAATGGACATTTATTTATTTATTTATTTATTTTTTAAATATTTAACTTATTATTTTTATTTTATGTGTACAAGTGTATTGCCTGCATGTATGTGAGTGCACGCGTGTCCTGCAATGCCACAGAGGTCAGAAGAGGGCTTCGGATTCCCCTGGAACTGGAGTTAAGGACGGTTCGTAGCAGCCCTGCTGTGTGAGTGCTGGGAATCAAACCCAGGTCCTCTACAAGAGCAGTCAGTGCTCTTAACTGCTGAGCCATCTCTCCAGCCCCTGGGAAAGCACATTTAAACTCAAGAGGCAGAATGAGTAAAGATAGAATAAAGATTTCCTCCAACCCGTTTAGTTGACCTGACGTTCCCTAAGTTGGAATTTGTTGTTTGGAGTAGGAATGGGAATGGAAGGGAGAAATCACAAAAGTTTCTCTGTGGATTGTGTGGGAGACCAAGGCATTTTTGCCCCATGATGGTGTGAGCAGTGAATGTTTTGTTAACTGACAGAGACTTAGTGAATAGGAAGCACTGATATAAGGGCTTTGAAGACCCTTTTTATTTTATTTAAACACAAATTTTACTATAAAACAGTTGTTTTACATCAAAGGCTATGCCCTTTTAAGGGCATATGAATAATACAAAGTCAACAATCAGAAGGAAACAGCTTCAAATGACATAAAAAAAATCTGTCCAGTTCTTGTAAGAGAACAAACTGGGTGCTGGAGAGATGACTCCATGGCACTGGCTGCTCTTGCAGAGGACCCAGGTTTGGGTCCCAGAACCCACATGTGATTAATAAACATCCATAACTCCAGTTCCAGGGAATCTGATGCCCTTTTCTGACTTCCTTGGCCATTACACGACACAGGTGTACTTTACATATATGCAGGCAAATAAAATAATAAATAAAATATTAAAAAAAGAAGAGCACAAATATAGATCCTTGTGATAGAGCACTTAGGGAAGAGGAAACGAGATGTATTAAAAAATTATTTTTTAATTCTTTTGTGATAGAGTCTCACTCGGTGGCCCAGATTGGATTCAAATTCTCTATATAGTCAAGGATAACCTTGAACTTTTTTGATTCTCCTGCCTTCGCCTCCCAAGTGCTAGGATTACAGGTATGTGCCAGCACCCGGAGTTATGTGGTGCTGGGAATAGAACCCAGAGTTTTGTGCATGCAGGACCAGCACTATACTGACTGGGCAATATCTCCAGCCCCAGGGTGTACTTTTGATGTGTCTTTAAAAAACAAATCCCTTTGCCAAGAACTAACTTGAAAAAGCAGAGACTTCATTTTTCTTGACCCCAGAGTCAAATGGTTTACTTGAAAAAATCAGTGCCATGAGGGAAAAATAACCTTTTTCTTTGCAATGTCACTTGGAAACTATTCAGAAGTGCCATTTCCCTGGTGTCATGGAGAGGCTTTGTTATTGTGGCGCACTGTGGCCTAAGTCAACTGGAAAACTTCAATCAGTAGAACACACTGCAAACATTTTTTAAGGTTTATGACTTTAAATGACTTCTGCAAAATTTATGTTCCCCCTTTCCTGGAAATATTAAAAAAAAGAAATTGGTTCCATAACACTTTTGACAGCTTCTTCCTGTGGACAGTTTTAATGGAAGAGTTCTTCTATAAGCACTCTGCATCTATCAGCAAATGGAAAGATAATATGATAAGGCGAAGGACCTCTGCAACATGAATGACCCCTGTGCTATCAAACGTGGACCAGAGCATGGAAGAGCCTCTGTGGGCTGTAAGGCAAGGCAGCAAAACTGAAAAGCTTTTGGATTTTTTCCCTTCCTGCCCCCATCATCTTTGTTTAATCTGGAAGCTTTAAGAAACATTGGTATTATCTTATTCATTCATGTGGCCTGGGAAATGACTCCCCTGCGACTCCTCCTATCCACTCTGCTGAAATGCAGCTGCACTCGAAGTCCTGCACTGCCAGGCTCAGCTGAGCAGCTTCATCAACTGTCTTGAAGGGCTGAGAAGGCCCCAGAGCCTCTTTATCAACCACACATTAAAGACCACAGTAACTAACTTTTATTAAGCACTTTCCCCTATGTGTTTTTATTTGATCTTCTCAAAAACCGAGGGAGGCAGGGCTAGTACTGTACCATCCCTCCCCTCTCACAGGGTAGCAAGCTTGTTAAGTGAATCAGCCAAGAACAAACAACTGGGTAGGGCTCTGATTCTAAATCTCTTCCTCACTTCACTCCTTCACAGGTTGAGAACTGGAAATTCCTCTCTTAGGGTAAACTATTTGCTGAGGGCAGCCCCCACAGTGAGGCTTTGCCAAGGAAAGTTGCTCTGTGGTTGGCATTTGCCTGACGTGGGTAAAACTGGGAAGGGAACCTTCTGTAGGGAGAGGAGGAGACTCCAGCTCTGTGGTGCTAGCTGGACAAGTCCTTTGGGCTCCCTGAGCCTCAGTTGCCTCATCTGTGAAGTGACAATTTCACATGCAGAGGGTAGGCATGCAGGCAGATTATAGTTACTCTTATCCTGTGTTGGGTACATTCTGCACAGTGTTCCATTTAATTCTTACAACCATTCTATGAGACAGGCATTCTTACTTTACCCGTTTTACAAATACGGAAATTGAGACTTAGAAATAATAAGCAACTTCAGGTATCAGTGCTGGAGATTCAGAGCCTAAGGGCTTACCCTATATGGCAGGCCCTACAGTTCCAGGTTGGTGGGAAAATGTTCTCATAGAACAATGGGATACTTAATACAAAGTGTGTATGTACTTCATAACCCTTGGAGAGTCATCTGGGACCAGGGAACTTGGGCCAAAGAATGCCTGGGTCTGCCTTGGGACTCCAGGAGAGACGTAGGAGGAAGTAGTAAGATTAATCACTGACATTTGCTATCAATATATGCATGTGGCTGGGAATGGTGGTACATTCCTCTAATCCTTGCACTCAAGAGGCTGAGGGGCCAGGGAGATGGCTCAGCAGGTAAACGGCTTGCCATGGAAGCCTGAGAACCTAGAACTCACACATATGTTACAAGCCAGATGCAGTAGAAAGCTTCTATAGTTGTAGTACTGCTGGCAAGATGAGGGCAGAGACAGGAGAACTGGCTGGAGGCTCAAGGGCCAGCTAGCCTAGGGTGTAGAGCACAACAGAAACAAAAGAGGAGAATCGATTCCTAAAATTGGTCCTCTGGCTTCCACATACCCACAGGGGCATGTGCCTCATACACACACACATACACACACACACACACACACACACACACACACACCCACACACACACACACACACACGACTACCTACAGGCATAATAAGTAAAGAAATAAATTTTTTTTTTTTTTGAGTCAGGGTCTCCCTGTAGCCCCAGCAGTCCTGGAACTCACTATGTAGATCAGGCTGGCCCTGAACTCACAGAGATCCAAAGAGACTAAGGCAGAAGAATCTCTAGTTTGAGACTAGCCTGGTCTATGTAGCAAGTCCCAAGCCAACCTGCTCTACGAAACAGGACCCTGGTTCAAATGTGTGTGTATATGTATGTGTGCATGTGTGTGATTTTTTTTTTTGAGTTCTTAGCATATGTTAACTCATTTTATTTACACAACAAACGTGAAAAAGCTCTCTTAAAAGTCCGATTTTGCTGGGGCGTGGTGGTTCACACCTTTAATCCCAGCACTTGGGAGGCAGAGGCAGGCGGATCTCTGTAAATTCAAGGCTAGCCTGGTCTACACAATGAGTTCCAGGACAGCTGGGGCTACAGGGAGACCCTGTCTCAAAAAAAAAAGTCCGATTTTTACTGAAGAAGAAATTGAAACCTCTAAATCAACTAACTTGCCCAAGGTCACACAACTCCAGGTGGAAGAGCCAAGAGGGAAGCCTAGGTGGTCTAGCTCAGAAGCTACAACTTAACTGCTGTGTGCTACTCAGTCTTGACAATGAGTAGCAGTTTTCTGGACAGAGACTGTAGGTAGAGTGATTACTGTAATCCAAGAAAAGAATGGTATTTTATGTTTTGTTCCTGTTTTAGGTTTCCAAAAGTCAGTCCTGATTCTTTAAGCTGACTTCACTACCCCACTAAGGGGTCATGACTCACAGTTTAAAAAAAGTGATGATGGGGGCTGGAGAGATGGCTCAGTGGTTAAGAACACTGGTTGTTCTTACAGAAGACCCAGGTTCGAATCCCAGCACCCACCTGGCAGCTAACAACTGTCTGTAACTCCAGTTCAGGGGATCAGACAGCCTCTTCTGACCTCCGCAGGCATTGCAACAACGTGGCTGCAGGGTGCAGTTACCTACACACAGGCAATACACGCATACACATAAAATAAAATAAT